ATGGACAATTAAATTGATCTGTCTGTTACAAACATTAGTTCCAAGAGACATTTAAACTCAGAAACACTGGAATTTTAATTATAATTGAGATTAGAGACTGTGACAGTACAAAAAGTTTCATGTGGTTTTAAAACTGGATATATACAGTATATATTTCTCCATGGATATGTTTGAAGAAAATGCATAAAAACTAAACAAAATTAAAAAATGAATAAATAATTTAATCTAAGGGCTATTCTTCAACTACGGGCACTTTTAGCCTTGTGAAGTTGAGTAAAAAAAACTTGTTCAAAATTAACGTAACATAGCCTCATAAGTTTAAACAATTTGTCTAGTTTTAGGATCTGTAAGAGGACAAACTTATAAGAAGAAGAAGATATAAGAAGAGAAACATTTTTCTATCGTGAACTGAACAAATGTCAATTCCACCACATCTCAGTATACAGCTTATTTCAAAATGAAATAAATTATTATGGCAGTCAAACATTGTCTAAGATCATTTTTGTATCTAGTTTAACCAATTGTTCCACAATGTATATAAAAATTATACATTTGTCACTGAAATTAGTTGTATGCTGAATTGTACAGCTGTCACACTCTAAAATTTAATATTAATTTGTTTAAGAGTTTATTAGAAAATAAATAAACTCAATTTGTATATTAAATAAAGCATGAACTTCTACATTGTGAATACACATTTAATGTGTAATAAGAACTTTTTAAATATTTTTTAAAATATGTGTGGTGATGGAAATGACAGTGGTGGAAATCACATTTCCACAGTTTATTGTGAAAAATGAAAAATAGCTTCACTGCTTTGAATTGATTCTAGCCTTTCATGTTGACAAAACACTCTTATTTACCTTAATTTTGTTTGGTTTTTAAAAACATTTTTGAAGGTACAACATATTTGGAAATAACATGGAATAAATGTATTTCCTTGTGAAACAATATTTACCTTGATTTTTCTTCAAGTGTTGTTAATAAAAATTTTTGATTCCCTCCACGTGAACATGTTCTCAGATGGCACTATTCATTTTCATAGAAACCACCTAAATAATCTTTCACAAACAGTGTTGTGGTGGAAATGACACTGACACTATGCGATACTGTGGTATAGAAAATAATATTGATAATAGTCTGACATTAATAACTATAAAATATTTGAATTATTTCACTAGTGCTTAATTAAGATACATTAATAGATACCAGATCAATAATATTTTAAAATGTTATTTTCATTGTTGAAGTTTAAAACACTAGGTGTGCGACAAGGTGAAAACAGTGATTTTGACACCAAAAAGGAGGTTGAATAACATGAAAAATATATAATAGAAAAGCTAGTAAAAAATTTAAAGTAGGTGTTATTGTTAGTTTGACAAAGAAAGAGGAATTTGAACAAAACTATAAATATTTTTATTTTTTCAAATGATACATTTTAGGATAAATTAATATACAATAATTAGTCCAAAAATTAAATAACAATTAATTAAATAAATAATACACTTTTATAAATACTCAAATAATTCAAATGAAAACATTTACTCATATAGTAGCAATATAATGTGTAGACTAATGCAGTAATGTAAACTAATAGCACATATTTTCCTAAAGATTTCAGGCCCATTTATAGTATTAGTTTTTAACCGTGTAAATTAGACCTGTATGCAAGAAGCTATATTGAATTTCTTTATATTTAAGATGGGGTCCTTACACAAGGATGATAATATTTTCATGTGTCCATGGCATCTTAATATTGAACAAATCTGTCATAGCCTTTTGAATTTCCTAACAAATTATATTGAGAAAAAGTACAATTTCAATGCAAGCTGTTTACACGTGGGCAAAGAAAAGTAGTGAAAACACAAAAGTTCTTACACATACCTTTGCAAAACGATAACTGGGAATTGTTTGAACCAAATGAGTTTTATAGTTGAGTTATAGGATGTAATTCTAGTTTTTGAGAAGGAAATGTGTTTGATTTCTTCAGGTTCTGCTTCTCTTCTCTGTAAATGATACTCCTATATCAGCAATAACCCCTATTGCAGACGCAATTGCTGCAATACAGGCTGGACAGAGGACAATCAGTTTAGAAAGGTAGGAACTGCGTTCATCTACCTAATGAAAAACATAAGATAATTGAGATAAACACAATATTGTTTCTTATTCAGCTTGTCTGTTTGTCAAGTAGGGGTAAAGTTTGTTTTATTCTGACCTTTGCATTTCTGTTTAATGTAAGCTGTAGTTATTTATCTTTTATGGCTTTGGCAGGCTGAGGGCTGTTCACACCCTACTGAGCTCAACATGTGTAGAGGTTGAAGGCCGTGTTTCACCCTCCACAAACTCTGTTTCCTCTACAAGTCAAAAAGAAGAAAACCAAAACACAAGAGCGTCACCCTCTAGCACTCCCCAACAGGTCTGTCTGGGCCTAGAATGTCCATAATGTACCTCCAGGCAGTATTGAATACACTGAGTTAACCTCTTGTTTTCTTTTCACCTGCAATGGTTTCTAATAGGACATGCTTCTGGAGATGGCCACACGCGTCTGCACTGAGATCAGGAATTTACTGAAGCCTGATTTCAGTTCGGCACCCCTCACAGAGGTGAAGTCTCAAACCTTTACTTTTAGGCTATATTTACATGACAACAATGTAGCCGAAATAGGAAATGTTTTTCTCTTGCATTTTAAAAAAAGTTTCACATTTACACAGCAAAGTTTTCAAAAAGATCTGCAATTACTCATCAGAGGAAACAGGCAAAAACGCTGTTTTACTAACACATTACATATGCAATCTGAAAAAAGTGAAACTACTGTGTCTTTTATTGTACATTTGTCAAATCCAGTTCCAGGAGGGCCACAGCCCTGTACAGTTTAGTTCCAACCCTGCTTCAACACACTTACCTGTAGGTTGACCTGAACCTGAAGACTTAACTCATGTGTATTCAATTAGGATTAAAGCTAAACTGTTCAGAGCTGCAGCCCTCCAGGAACTAGGTTCAACACCTGTGAAAATACGTTTTCGAGTTTTATTAAATTTGCTTCGAAACAAAATTAAAAGCATTAGTTTTTCTCAAAGTTGTATTTAAGTAATACTTTAAGCCGGCAGTTTTAATTTCGTGTAATCACATGAAAAAGGTACTGTTTATGTGCTATTCAGCTAAGGATTTTTAATGTGAGTTTGATTATCATCTTGTGTAACATTTCAGTGTAACACACTGAAAGCACCAGCAGATAGTTTACCTCAGATTTTTAAAACCAAATAACTAGCAATAGCATAGCCTAAAATCATATGAATTAATTATAGTTAAGTGCAACGTACAATTTTACTTTACTTTGGTTCAACTTCAAATCAAAATCAATTTAATTTATTCATGGTCTATAAAATATTTTACCTTGAGTGAATGAATGATTTTTTGCTAGGGCAGAATAAATATTCTAATTAATATTAAATTACGTTTTTCAGTTTCAACCAAGTCAAAACTATAATTTGAGGGAAATGTATAAATTTAGCTGAAATAAATACAGTCATTTTTTTAAGTTGGTTTAAAGTATAAATGTTTTCAGTGCATGACGTCTTCATTTTTTAAATCACCACTATCTTTTTTTCGGGTGTTGGACAAGACAGTGGTGAATATTTTTGAAAACTTCCACTTTGGTCACACTTTGTTTGTTGAATTTAGTTACATTGCACTTACATGCCAACTAATTCTTATTAGATTATAAGTAGACTGTTAGGTTGGGGTTGGGGTTAGGGTAAGTTGACATGTACTTGCAAAGTTTCTTATTGTCAGTTAAATGTCTGTTGAAGGAGTGACATCAACAGATATTAAGCAGACAGTCTACTAATACTCAAATGGACCATCAAAATAAAGTGTTACCTCTGATTTATCAATTTTCAGTCCCAAAATGCTGTTGTCGTGCAAATGAACGGGCAAAACCCATAAAAAGCTTTTGGCTGAAAATGTTGCCATGCCAATGCACCCTCATTCATTTAGGAGATGCTTTTATCTAATCTAAAGCAACACTTTTTTCTAATAACTTTTTAGATTTTTTAGAATTTGCTAAGAAATATGCAATGAAACATTAGAGGGGAACATGTGTGGGTGATTTTTAATGATTAATGATTTCATTGGTGATTGTATGCACCGCGTTGACTCTGAAAATGTGTGCAGTATCAGTATTTTATTATATTATAAAAAATCTAAAATGTTAATAAAATTTGTAAGAACTTGCAGTTTACATACATTTAATATGGTTTCTATGTATATAAAATAATTTAAAGAATACCTTATGTCTTTGACCCTTATATTATTATTATAATGAGTACACCAAAAGACATATATCTGATTCTGTCTCTTTGTATTTCTACCCATGCAGATGCCCATTGGCCAAAGCACAAAGTATCTTGAGAATCTGGAGCGCTGCTTTAATCCTGCAACAGGCGGCACTCTACAAAATACAGCCCTCATCAGCTGGATTCTCTCTCTTCTGAATTAACCACAGCTTCATCTGTCCTGCATATGAGATAGACCAACATGCATGCAAATATTTAATATGCTATAATAATATTAATGCCTTTTTAACAGCAAATAAAGTATATATTAAAAAAAAAAAAAAAATATATATATATATATATATATATATATATATATATATATATATATATATATATATATATATATATATATATATTTATATTATAAATTTACATTTAGCTATATTTCCCCCTTTTATTGATAAAAACCCACAGCTTAATCTGCACTAGATGAATGAGATAAATCAGTATACCCCAACTATTTATATTTAATGTGCTATAAAATTATTGATTTAACACCAAATAAAGAAGAAAGCACTAAAACGTATTAATTTATTTGTTTGTTTTTGGTGGAAGGCAAAGCTTTTGTTCTCCTTTTTACATTTCTGTTTACATCTGAAATCATGAACTCTTCACATTTCCCTTCAGAGTTTCAGTTCATCTTAAATACTATTGAAACATTAGTGGACGTAGGATATTTTATTCAGTCACATGAGATGTGTTTTAGTGCTGGGTAAAGCGTCTATAATTCTGTGTTGTGTGATTATGGGATTGATGCAAGTTATGATTGATTGAGCCAGGCTGAGCGGAGGTTCAGGAGGATCTGCACGTCACTCGGGGCCAGTTTGTAGATTCCCAGCTCATTGAGTGCAGATTCTGGACTGGACTGTTGATGGTTGGGAAGACTATCTTCTTCTGACTGTTTCAAAACGTCTAATAGCAACAGCGCCGGACCCACTTTTAGAGTCAAGATGATGCAGGCCTCCTTCACACTAACATGAGGAAGAGAGAAATAACAATGAGGTTTTTCTATCCATTATTTCAGAAACAGATTATACTATGAACCTTTTCAATGCTAGATTCTGATTGGCTGATAAACATGATAAGATTTGCAATTATTTTAATTGTAAATCCAGAGATAAAGTCATTCCTTTACTGAATTAGAGTTCCATGATACCTAAAATAAAAAAAAAATATCTTTAAAAATACAGTCAAAACATAAATTTAAAAAATGCTATGGATGTGTAAGCATGTCCTTGACACAAAAGCCGTTTGAAGACAAAAAACCTAATAAATGTCTTGAAATATAACATCTGAACAATGTTTTTAGGTTTGTTAACCTTAGTATAGATGTAATAATGTACTTTGGTCAATTAAATTATTAGAAGATAATGCATATAAACACTTTTAACAGGCTTTTGCTTCACTTGCTCTAAAAGTCTGGAACTTACTCCTCTATAATACGAGACATGCAGAATATTTTAAGGTGTTTAAGTCATTCTTGAAAACACACTTTTTTGGCTTGCCTATCTGTAAGGTGTGCATTTTCAGAGAGTGTTTTAGTGTTTTAAATGTTTTGACTGGTTACACTTTTACTGTTACACAATATTGTTTTATCCATGTATGTTTTTAGAGTTTTAAAGCACTCTTAAGAATTTAGTTCTAAAGGCACTATATAAAAATACATTTATTATTATTGTTATTTGCAGTGTGGCCAAATCATCACCTTGGCTATTCATTATTTCTTAGTAATTATAAATGAATTATAATAGAACAGGCAGTTTTCAAGTATTTCTTTCTTCAACACACTTACTGTTTGAAGAAGTTTTCTGGTCTCTTGCAGTAGTGTCCAAACAGAGGAAAAAGGTTTCTGGTCATGTCGTATTGAAGCTGTGCAGCGCCGCCTTCATTGAAATGGTTATAAAGGATGAGCTGAGGGATGAGAAACAAACACAGATGAACAACTGATGCCAATAAACTACTGCCTGCAGAATTCAGGTACAGGAAATCCTAGCTATTATAAAGAGATTGTTATAAAAATCAATATGTTTTAATTGTCCTGCATTAGGAGTCATTTACACAACACCATTTTCAATTATAAATGAAAAATATTTGTTGTATATTGGCCATTAGTTTACACAACAGTGTTTTGGGGCCTGAAAATCCAAAGTTTTCAAAAATGGCTGGAATGCATATTGCAGCATTTTTTATTTGTTTTTATGAATCCATGTGAATAAGGATCATTTTAAGAACATTGTCTTCTCCATATGAAATTTTACAAAAGCACACATATTGTCTGTAAACATATCCATAGTTTGAAGCTAATAATTATACTATTATCCACACTCTGGAATCTGAAGTTGCTATTTTTAAATACTTGTTAATACTTTCCTAATGCTAGAAAAATGTGTTTTTCAGATAAACACTGTTCAAATAAACTTTCTGTTTATCATAAAAACTTGAAAAATGTATCATTATTTGTTGGCACAAAAGGTAACACTTTACAATAAGGTTCATTAGTTTATGCATTTACTAACATGAACTAATCATGAACAACACTTGTACAGCATTTATTAATCATATTTGAACATTTACTAATGCATTATTAACATTCAAGACTATGCTTGTTAACATTAGTTAATGCACCATGAGTTAACATGAACTAACTATGAACTACTGTATTTTCATTAACTAACGTTTGTTAACATGAATAAATACTGTAGTAAATGTATTGTTCAGTGTTTGTTCATGTTAGTAAATGCATTACTTAACGTTAACTAATGAACCTTATTGTAAAGTGTGACCGCACAAAAATATAAAGCAGCACAACTTGACTTTCAGTATTGATAACAATAAAATAAATTGTATAAAACCCATAAAACAGACTTTTCAATTATGGCTTAACAAGTAAAGAAAGAAGAAGACTGACATCCTCATAGATGAAGCAGTCGAGTCTCTCAGCGAGGCCCTGCCAAAACATCTGAAATAGAGGAAGACACAACATCTGCTGCAGTTGGAGCAGGTGATCCCGCAGGCAAAGCATCATGGGACATGCAGAACTGGATAACGACATAGTGGCCTGGTCGCTTTGCGATGGCAAGGAGATCCATCTGAAACACATTCAGTTTAAACAAGGACAAATGTCAAAACAAAAGGTAGAGAAAGCAACCCAAAGATCACTCCTTAGACTGAAACCTTCCCAATTTCACAGCTTCCTAATATAGTTGAAGTCAGAATTATTAGCCTCCCTGAAGTATTAGCCCCCCTGTTTATTTCCCCCCCATTTTCTGTTTAATAAAGAGATTTTGTCAACACATTTCTAAACATAATAGTTTTTATAACTTATTTCTAATGACTGATTTATTTTATCTTTGCCTTGATGACAGTAAATAATATTTTACAACATATTTTTCAAGACATTTCTATACAGTTTAAAGTGATGTTTAAAGGCTTAACTAGGTTAATTACGTTAACTAGGCAGGTTAGGGTAATTAGGCAAGTTATTGTATAATAATAGTTTATTCTCTAGATTATCAAAAAGAAAATTAGAGGAGCTTGCTTATAGGGACTAACAATATTGACCTTAAAATGGTTTTTTAAAAATTAAAAACTGCTTTTATTCTAGCCTAAATAAAACAAATAAGACTTTCTCCAAAAGAAAAATGATTATCAGACATGCTGTGAAAATTTCCTTGCTCTGTTAAACATCATTTGGGAAATATTTAATAAAGAAATAAAAATTTAACTGTATATAAATTTAAATATTCAATAATTTTCCAGTAAAAATCTACAGTGAAAAACAGCATGTTGAATCAATTAAATATATATTACTAGCACATCTGCTGGCTGTATTTTTTTTTACTTATACCTGTCTTTGCAGTATGGCTGTGCCTTCTCCTTGACGTCTCTCATGACTGCGTCTAGTAATCGGCCCAGCATGTCTCCTCGCAGCCTCTCCAACAGAGCCAACAGTTCCTCAAACAAAGATCCCTCCAGAGAGGCCAGTCTGCCGCTCTCTGTGGCCCCTAAAGGGCCCAGGATTTCCTCGCCCACTGAAACTGCAGCCTGCTGCAACTGCAAGAAGAACTGAGACAAAATACCATACAAGTAAGCATTTCTGATCTCCATCAGGATGTAGAAAAAGGTTCATATTATTTTTATTATTCTATTTAATATAATGTGTTAGTAAAGTGTAAGGAAGACTCTTTCGTTTTATCTTCATTTTTGTTAAATAAATAAAATAATATACGTTATATTTTGTATAATTGATATTGTTTTTTTTTATATGTGAACTTTTAGAAATGTTCAAATTTAAAGAGCCTAAAATATCAAATGGTAACCCTTATTTAAAAACCAAACGAATATTCCTTATACACCTGTTCTTTGATCACATACAAGATTAAAGATCCTAATTTATTAAAAAACTTTTTTAAAATGCATATTTTGTAAAATATTGATATATTTACTATTTTAATATATTTTTTAAAATGCATTTAATTGTCATATCTGAGTCATTACTCCAGTCGTATATATATATATATATATATATATATATATATAAATTTATTTGACAAATAATAATAAATATTACATGTTATTATTAGATATGTACAATTATTTCATATATTATTTTATTTTCATTTCAATTTCCTCTGATATGTTTTTTGTTTTACATTGTGTTGTACAGTCATTTGACTATAAAAACTTTTTCAAATATTAATAAGCATCTATTTTTATGGTAATTTTAAGAAACTGGTATATTAAGAAACATTTTGGAAATTGCTACAACAATAAATTTATTATGAACCTGAAAAATGACACATTAACTACTGTTAATCAAAGTGTGGCTCAAAAGCACTTACAACATTGTCACCCCAGTCACTGAGAACAGTGGAGATGTAGTTGGCAGCGTTGAGGATGGCGGAGTAACGGGAGCTCAGTGGCTGTCGGGACTCTTCTTTCATGACCTGCGTGAGGCGGATACGAAAATCATCCACCAGCTCCTTCTGCAATGCCAGGAAACTGAGCTGAGCCCGCTGACATGGCAGAGAGCGGTATCGTTCTAAGGAGGAGGACAGCACAGGCAATCATAAACAAGTATTTCAACTTTATGGAAAGACACTGCAGGCAAAAACATGTCAATTTTGAGATTTTGGGTGATGTTGGCTTTTTATCAAGTCTTTCTTTTTGTTTAATGTAAAGACCACATCCAAAATACATTTAAAATGTTTCTTTAGTCACACTTAATCAATTTATGTCTGTAGATTTGGATTATAATACATATATTTATGCCCGTTTTCTCAAAATGCGTTATATTTTCTTCTGCACTGTGCTACAATTGAGTCAGAATTATTAGCCCCCCTGAATTTTTAGACCGCTTCTTTATTTTTTCCCCAATTTCTGTTTTACGGAAAGAAAATATTTTTAACACATTTCTAAACATAATAGTTTTAATAACTCATCTCTAATAACGGATTTATTTTATCTTTGCCATGATGACTGTAAATAATATTTGACTAGATGCTTTTCAAGACACTTCTATACAGCTTAAAGTGACATTTAAAGGCTTAACTGGGTTAATTAGGTTACCTAGGCAGGTGAGGGTAATTAGGCAAGCTATTGTATAACAGTGGTTTGTTCTGTAGACTATCGAAAAAAATATAGCTTAAAGGGGCTAATAATTTTGTCCCTAAAATTGTGTTTAAAAAAATGTAAAAAATGATTTTATTCTAGCCTAAATAAAACAAATAAGACTTTCTCCAGAAGACAAAAATATTATCAGACATACTTTGAAAATTTCCTTGCTCTGTTAAACATCATTTGGAAAATATTTTAAAAAGAAGTAAAAACTTTGAAGGGGGCTAATAATTCTGACTTTAACTGTATATGTCTCCATAACAGTTTTATTTACATCTGTTTTATTTAATTTTTTAATTTAAATTTAGATTTTTACTGAGAGATTTGTTCATAAGTAATCGCCAAAAAATATAGAACAAAATATATTTTATTACAGATGAGGATAAGGATATTTAAAAAGGATGAGCTTTTATCAATACCTGTGATGACCAGTAGAAGGGTCATGAAGGTCTCTGCACAGTCTGGTGCTTTGAGCTCATCCATATCAGTAATGTCTTTATATTGAGAGCTCCAGGCTCCTTCTGCAGACAGCATGGCGTCCACTTTCTCAACAGCCACTGGAGGGCGACATGCACGGTTTATTTAATTGTCGAAACTGAAAATTTGACTCAAGCACGTAGCATTCAGACTCACTCTTTCTCTCCACACTGAGCCACTTTTGAAACACGCTCTCCTCTAGCAATATGTGGAGGACACCGGGGTAAGCACGCGGGTAACTGTGGGTGCTGCGCAACTCTTTTTCAAACTGCAACACCTCGTCCACTAGATGGCAGAAGAGAGCGTCATCGTAGAGCAATCGAGGAGCATCGTGGGCAAGCTTTTCCTGCGCCAGAGTGAGCAGACCTCTGCAGAGCTCCACCTGGAGGACAGATTGAGAGGACATTAATAGCTAAAATTATCGCAAGTTGCGATATAATCGAAGTAAGGACACAACAGAGTAGGAGATCTTGGCTCTATTGAGAATTTTTACAATGACGTCACTTCACTTCGGCCTTTCCGCGATGCAGTGTATTAGTAGTTCTGTTTTGCCCATAAATGAATGGAATACTTCTCTGGAAACTTTACAAATGAAAATATTAAACGCATTTTGGGATTTAAGACAACGTTTTAATAGCTAAATAACAAAATCATTGGGAATGTATTTAAGTGCTTCTCTTCCAAAAATGCTTTCTGAGTTTGAAAATAATTGCGTTTAAGTTATTAAGAGGTAAGAAAAGTAAGCTATTTTTTAATTAAGGAAACTATATATTTGCAACTTTCTTACTTATTAATTCAGGTTATTTCCTGAATAATAATAATTTTTTACTTGCTGACAAGTACATACCAACTTCATCTGCATTACAGACAACAACACAAATCAATACGCTCCGTTTTAAGTCCCATTTTCTCCCATAAATCTTGGTGATCTGCAAGTTTTGTTTTTAGATGACAGATGAGATTCTAGTAAATATACTGGTGACTGTTTGAATGCTCTATGGGAGCTTTGTAAAGGGTACACTGCATGGAGTCATGTGAAAAGGCTCTTTTCCCTCACTGTCAATTGGACAAAGGCAGATCTAAATGTGAAATTGCAGTTGATTGTAAAAAAAGAGGCAGGATTTAAATCTTTAGTCTGCAAGTTTTGTGTCTTTGTCTCCATCTATCAATCCAGAGAAAACCTACCACCCAGATTAGAAAACATTATTACAATCTTACCAATGTGAATTGGGCTACGTTAAGGAAAAAGTTTTGAACACTGCTTGCTCAAATATTCATTCTGAATAGATTTTACTTTTAACTCAAAAATGTTATACTATACTTTAAATATAAATGCTAAATGATACTACATGTGTAAACAGCATCTAAAATGGTTTAGTTTGTCCTCTTTCGACCTCTTTCAGAGAGAGTTGAAAATTAATTTGACTGGATTATTTTGTAGTGTAATCGCGCATGTGGTTGAATGTGTTTGAAATCCAACAAATAGGTAAATAATCTCATAAATTTGTCTTTAACCAAATCGATGATAAACTTACCCTTGCGTTAACATTGCCTCCAGCACGATCCAATATAGGCTGAACCTTCTCATCCATAAAGTTGGAGTTGTTTCCCATCCAAATGAGGATCTGAGTCAAATACCACTCTGGCTGTAGACAGACAATTTAACTTTATCTTATTGTATGCATGATTATTAATCAATAGTTTCCCTATTCACAAACTATTTTTTAAGATATATGTTTTGCCTTTATTATAGGACAGAATGTTGACAGAAAGCAACGTTGGATAGAAAGCGAGAGAAGGGGAGATAGAAACAGCACTGATATTGCAGTGTGCAAATCTGCAATAGTCTCATGGCAAGATGATCTGCAATGTCATGTTAGGATTAATGTAACATGACCAGATTCTAATAATGTGAATGATTTGAAATTGTATGTGTTTACTGTAAGATTTCAAGTAAACTTAAACCATTTGGGCACAAGAAATTGCAAAAGTTAACCACTTTGAGATAAATTAATTGCTTATTTACAGTATGAAGAATATACAGTGTTAATTCAATTAAATTAAATTCATCTTTATTTCTATAGCACTTTTACAATGTGGATTGTGTCAAAGCAGCTTAACACTGAAGTTCTGTTAAATTGATTGTTACATTTTACATTTAATCATTTTTTTTAGGAGCATCTGCTGTTAGACTGCATGGAAAACTTTGAAGCACTGTTTATATACTGTATATATATATATATATATATATATATATATATATATATATATATATATATATTGTTTTCATCACTGCTTTATTTAATTTTTGTATATTTTTATATTATGCAGATGCCTACAAAATCATCCCAATCAATGTAAAATTATTATTCCCAAACAGAGTTACTCAAGTCATCTAGTGAAATTATATTAATATCACAATATATATGGCAGAAAAACTAAAATCACAGTATCAGTTTTTTTTCCAATATTGTGCAGCTCTAGTCCATAAGTCAGGACTGGAACTGGGATGCCCACAGTGTAATTGCACAATATGATCGTGCACTGCCCACTAAGCTGTCAGAGCAAATTTTTTAACAGAATGAAAAGGAGTTTTGCTTTTAGACTGAATAGACTTAAATAACAAACTGAGTAGTTAATGACCTTGCTTAAGCTGTTGGTCTGACGGTTTCCGGTGAAGTGATACCTGAACCTTTTGCTAAGGGGAAGCAGCATGATCTGAATGGGCAGCGAGAGTGGAGGAGTCTGGGACTGTCCAGGACGAGATGATGTTTCTTTATTCTCTGATATAAGGTCATCACTTCAGCAGCTGTTAGGGAAAATGATCACCTTTGCATCTTGAAAAATAAATTAATTAATAAATGCACAGTAACACTTTACAATATGGGACACTTGGTTAATGTACATCAAACAAAGCAAAAAAGGTTGGTCAGTATTTGATGTCTCACTTTAATTGTAAAAATGGTGATGAAAATTGTAATATTTGTATATTATAAAGTTTTAATATCTTTTAAAATACAAATAATAAAAAATAAAACAATATAAATGAAATAAAACAATATATACACAAGTTAAAAAAATACTAAAAATAGTAAATAAAAATACTTTAAAATAAAAAACTGACAGTCCTATTAACATCTCATATACTGTAGTTTATCTAAAATCTAGTTGAAAATTTAACAAGGAATATTAACTTTTGCATAATTCTTTGCGAGCCTGGATCAGTCTGACACTCCAGTGACATACACTGAGAAACTGCATCAGTACTGAAGTCTATTCAGCAGAATATTAAGGATACGAGGTCTGTAGAGACAGAAGCTGGGAGACGAGCAGCTCCAGCTGGCTGTTGAGCTCCTGTGCGTTTGCTGGAGGAGAGAGAGTCTGTGTCGGGGCTGAGATGAACGGCCAGTGTAACTGCGTCAGGACTTCCTCGAAATCACTGAAACACAACTAAACATTTAGCATCATCTCAGAAGCATTTATACTAACTCTAAACGTCCTGTGAGTTTCACACCTGGTCAGTTTGTCTTTAAGGATCTTGTGCCAAAACCGAAGTGTCTCTCTGAGGAAAGCCTGCAGGTGGAGACAGCCTGACTCCCTCAAATCCATATCCAGAGACGCCATACTGTCAATGGCTCTGACCGCATCCCACACACTATTGGTCATCAGATACTGCTGGATACTGTCACTGATGCAGCATAAAAGAAGCAAAGAAAAAAAATCTCTGTTACGTTATTATAATTTTTTAGGCAATACACTGTATGTGTCGAACTGAGTTCCTGGAGGGCCGCAGCTCTGCACACTTTAGTTCCAGCCATATTTAAACAAACCAGATCCAACTATTTGAGTTCTTCAGGCTGGTTTAAGACCTACAGGTAAGTGTGTTGAAGCAGGGTTGGAACTAAACAGTGCACTAAACCGGCCCTCCAGGAACTCAGTTTGACACCACTGCTGTATAGGTGTACAGGGAAAGAAATGAGGTAATAGTTACTGGATCACTATACTTGTGCAGTTGATTGATTATATTAAAATAGGCATTGTTTAATTAAATGTAGGCTAATTTGCATACAATTCTAGCAGAAAAATCTGAAGTAGTTTTTTTTACAGGGGAGATTCGGGGAACCTCTTTTATCACTCCATAATTCAGAAAAAAAAAACAGCAAACAGACAAGGAAATATACACATTTGCAGGTTTTTGTGGAATAAATTGTTGTTTATTAAAAATGAGGCAAATTATGTATGAGCAAATCCATCTGTGACTATATACAGTTGAATAATTAGCCCTCATGAATTATTAGTCCGTTTATAATATAATAATTTCTAATTGAAACTGAATTTTTTTATTTTTGCCATGATGTCAGAACATAATATATTGACTAGATATCTTTCAAGATACTAGTATTCAGCTTAAATTGACATTTAATGATTTGTTCTTTAGACAAATTGAAAAAATAGTTCTTAAGGGGGCTAATAATATTTACCTTAAACTGGTTTTTAGAAAATTTAAAACTGCTTTTGTTCTAGCCGAAATAAAACAAATAAGGCTTTCCCCAAATGAAAAAATATTATAGGAAATACTGTGAGAAAATCCCTGTTCTGTTTAACATAATTTAAGGAAATATTTGAAAAATAATTAAAAAAAGAAAAAAAAAAAATCACTGGAGGGCTTTATGAAAACAAGAGGACTTCAAGAAAACAGCTTTAAAAAATATGTATTGTAACAGAAAAGCACAAACATAAACGGACTAAGTACAATAAATGTAGCAGTTTATTGTATGCACATAACATATTGCTTATATTAAAAACCCTGTTACGAAATATAAAAATCGACAGCTTTTTTTGTTTGTAGAGTCTTGCCGTAACCCCCTGATATTTACCTGAGCTCTTCAATACGTGCCAGGCATTGCAGGTACTTCATATGTTTCTCTAATGTGTCCAGCTGCCCCAGGACCTGCCCGATGCTGTCAGTCCAGACCTGTGCACCCTGCAGATGCTGCTGCAGTTTGTTAGACAACAGCCTCTCGTTCTCCAGTAGAGACTCCAGCTTCTTCTGAGACTCCTCTGCTGCACGCAGAGCTGCAGACACACGCAGCGGCCCCGAAGACGACACTGTCTGCACCTGCATGTACGAATCACAACAGATAAGTCATCCTGTAGCAGTATAACTGATTTATATAATGATGCATGCTTATTGACATCATTTACTTACAATTCACTTGTCATCAACCCGTTTCTCTTCAATGCAAAAAAGATGTTTTTAAAAAATGTTGAAAACTGGTTACCATTGACTTCCATAGTATTTGTGCTACTATGGACGTCAATGGTTACCCATTTTCACCATTCTTCATAATAACTTGCTTTGTGTTCAACAGAAAAATGATGAAACTCATAAAGGATTGGAACCACTTGAGAGTGAGTAAATAGTTATAATTATAATAATTTTAATAGTTTTAATAGTTATAAAAATAAGTTATAATACTAATAATAATAATTCTTATATATTTATATATTTTATATATATTATAAATATTATATATTTATTTTATAAATGTTACACATTTATATACTATATAATTAATATAATTATTAAATTATTTATAACAATTAATAAGTACATTTTTATTTTTGGATGAACTATCCCTTTAACTTTGATTATCTAGGATTAATGCTTAAAAATAAAAATAAAGTTAAATAAACTAAAAATATTAAATAAAATTTTATTAATAAATAAAAATAATACATGAAACAACCGTTAAATACGTTGTTTATAATAAGTCAAAAAGACTTAAGTTGCAATAAATGCACACAAATGTTGCATTAATTTCCTTTTTTATTTCATTACTTTTTATTCTAAAGGGGATTTGGGGGAAATGATGGAAGCTAAACTGTTTTGGTTACATTTGAATTATTTAATAGACTAACTAACTAAATAACTAACTAACAACAAACATACAAATGTATATTTATCTATATTTAAAATTTTTAATAGGAAGCTATACAATATTATATTTGTGCATATACACCAAATATGGAGCTTATCTAACAAAAGAACTTATGATAATGGTCCAAAAACTAGTACACCCAAATTGATATGTTATAGAAAAATATTAAATACAAATTTAAAAAAAAGGAGGAAAAATCAAGAGAAGCAAAAAAATAATAATAATTTTTAGTTGAAATTTTGTAAGTTGTATTTTTTTCAATATTTTGCTTGAATTTATTCGTATTATCTTTCAATTTCTCAATATGTTTGATGATGAAAGTATTATTTTAATAAGTATATCTGTTGTATAAATTAGTTTAGTTTAAATGCACCAAAATACATTGCCTATATTTACTGCGAAATGGATAAAATTATTCATTTTCAAAACTCAATTATGCTGAGCACGGTACATACATACATTCATACATTCATACATGCAGTGAAAGTCACTGAGGACTAAATAACCAGCATTATGGACTATTTATTTTATCCTTTGCAACTTCCATGGAAAAAATTATGTAGAGCATTGTAACAAAATGAGGAGTAACAGATGACAGAATGATCTTTTCTATTCCTTGATCAGTATTGGGTGAATTTTGTCTTAAACTTTAACATATAAAACATTTCACTTGTAAGCTGCTTTGAATAAAAGCGTCTACTCTACGTTATATATATATATATATGAACTCGTAATAAATCCTTTGTACAGAGCATTTCTTTCTTTATTTACCTGCTCTTCTAGCTGCTTGTTCTCTAATGTCAGTTTCTCCAAAAGCCCAGACACCTTCTTTAGCGACTTCAGATCTCCACCGATCTCCTTCTGCACAAGAGCAACTATATCGTCTTCAGGGTTTCCATCTTCTGAAGGAGAGTCAGATTTAGTGCTGTCTACTAGTTTCAGATCAGAAAGAACCATGTTACTGTGGTTGTTGTGCTCCATCATAGGCGCTGCCATGTTGCTCGACACGTCATCAGTGGAGTTTGTTTTTGAGGCTCCCTCTAGTGGCAGAAAGGTGTAACACACAATTTTTTACTGTCGTATTTCTGCCACAATTATTGAAGGAATTGTTTACCCCAAAATCAGGGTCGGATGTAGTTATTTGGGTACCCTAACCATTCGAGCCACAGGACCTGGAAGTCCTATAGTAATATCCACACTTTTTAAAATTGTATTTACTTGTTCATTTAGGTGTTTTTTTATGTAACCCAGTCTTGCTGTCATATTTTTATCTTAACGCAATCTCTACATTTTAAAAGATTTGTTTACTTAAAACAAATTCCCAACTAAACAAAAAATCATTTAACTAATTTTTTTTTAAGAGTAAATTTTCATCTGATTTGACTGCTGGACTGGTCCATGGTTGGGGGTGGGGGTGACACATTTGCACAGATGTACTAATTAAGGTAAATTTGTGTTTATAAAATATAGAAAATGTCATTATATAATTTATAGAAATGTCTGGGTATTTGGGGCCCTAAGCCACTGCTTACCTTACTTGTTTGTTAAATCCACAGCAACCCAAAATTAATTTTTCCTTATAATATACTCACACTCAAGTGGTTTTAAAATGTTAAACAGAAAACAAGATATTCTGACGAATGCAGGGGAAAAAGCAGACATTTGACTTTCAAAGTACGAACAAAAATACTATGGAAGTAAATGACATTGTTCATTATATGTTCCTTTGTGTTCAACAGAAAACAGAAACAAACCGGTTTTAAACATGATGATGAGTAAAAGGATTTTCATTTCTGGGTAAACTAACTTAACATTACCTCTTTAATAATCGAGATAAAATAGTAAGCATTGGTTAGAATCGCGATTAATGTTAATTAAATGGATAATTGATAATTATGAATATAAATTAATCAAACATTAAAACAAAATATAATATATAAATATTAATAGTGTTAGCATAAAATGTACAGTTCACAAATGTGAACATTTTATTAATATTTTATTGGTTATTGATTAATTAACAATTATCAATAGGAAACAACAGTTATTTAGATTATAATAAACAATGCAAACAGTAAAAATATTATATATACATTTACAGTGCTCAGCATATATAAGTACACCCATCACAAATCTCTCTTTTAAATTCATATTTTTATAGGAAGCTAGACAATATTATATTTGTGCATATACATCAGATTAGACAATGCTGAAGCCAAATCTGAAGTTTATCTAACAGAATAACTTATGATAACGGTCTAAAAACTAGCACACCCAAATTTATATGTTATAGAAAAAATATTAAATACAAATAAAAAAGGAAAAATCAAGAGAAGGACAAATAAAAAAAACTTAGTTGACATTTTGTAGGTTGTAATTTTTTTGCAATATTTTGCTTGAATGTAATTGTATGTCTTTCAATTTCCAAAAACGCTTGGCGACTAGAATAGTATTTTAATAAATATATGTGTTTAATAAATTTGTTTCGTTTAACTGCACCAATATACTGCACTTGCTTCACCTGAGGCTCATCAAGGGAGCTATGATTGCAGCGTTTGGCGTGCTGCTTGCTTTTCCTTTTGTTTTGATGTTAATGTTTTTGTTTCCTTTAGCGCTTATAGTCCACTGCCATGGATACTTTCACTACTGACTTTCACCAATAAAGATCCTACGATGCTATGCGTATTTTTGAAAAGTGTGTTTGTTTGTTTTTGTTATTAAATTATTTATTTTTGTTATTGACTGCTCTGTTTTGTCTCTGATTAATATGACTATTAACTAGTGTATTATATTTATTAAATCAAACAAAATGTATCGCGATTTATTTTTAATAATTATGAAAATGTTAACTCATGAATATTAATACACGTAATTGCGTAACGGCTGTGCTGAACACGAAAAATCATAACCGTTGACGTAATCTCATTAACATTCATGAGCTGAGGCTGCGTCCGAAATGAATTCGCAATCGCAAACTGCTCGATTTAGGCTTTGGTGGTCATTTCTGTGCGACTGGCAAGGGGGACGAAGACATTTATTTCCACAACAAAGCGGCACGTCTTTGTTTATCAACATTCGCACGCTTTTTTTTTTTTGTTATGAAAATGTAAGTTCAACTAGTTGCTGACAACGACGTAACGGTAGTTTTAAGGCGGCCATCTTAAATAACGAAACCAAGCCACAAATAACGCAAAATAAGATGTAAACGAAGTTAATACGACGACCAATTTACGCGTAAAAAGATATATCACCAAAAAGTTGCCTTTGTATTTACACTTTATTCGAAAAATGTGTGGATATTTGACAAACATTTGCTTTATTTGTGCGTGGCAATGATAACATTGTGTTTGGCGTACATTTGACACCGCTGTCACCACGGTTAGTGCTGTAAAAGCAGTTATACAGTATTTCATGTCTTATCCCGGTATTGTGGTCGTGCACAAGACATAAATCGGCCAAACTGTTATTTCTTGGCTCATTTAGTCGCAGGAGTCTCTGGCGCAAGTGTCTGTAGGCCTCCTTGATACACTTCTCTGGTTTGAGGTTTCCTGACAAGACTTTGACAGCGCTCTGCTTGCCTTGGATGGCTGAAAGGACATAAGTTGTTAAGGATCTTGAGGTTTCAGAGTGTTTGCCAAAGTCAATTCTGGCCTGAGCAACGGCTGTATGATGTTTCTTAAACTGGCACATTATACCAGTCCAGCTGAGCATGGCAGTCAGCATCAAAACACAGTGCCTTCAGGTTTATGTACAGCATCCTGAAAACTGGGGCGCCTTCTGCTGTACAACAGAGCCAAGATAAAGAAGAAGACTGGTGAGTCTGATTGTGTTTTGTTCGTGGGTTGTTAGAATAAGTAAAAAAAATAATACATATATCAATTCACATTATGATCTATTGATATGTGGATAATGTTTGGCTGGCTAGTGTAAAATATACTGTATATAATAATGTGGATATGAATTTACTTTTATTCTTTAAGCAGATACATTTTCTTCTCCAAAAAAAACTTACCGATGAAGAATACAATGTATTTAGGGTCCCAACAAGTAGTAGTATTAATATGTATATTTTAAGACAATTTATTTGCCCTCCTGTAAAAATATTCTTGTTTTTCAGATATTTCCCAAGTGCTGTTTAAAGGAGATTTTTTTTTACATTTTGTAATTGGTCTTGTAAAAGTACTTTTGTGTTTGTCATTATGACTGTACATACTATTGTCTTATAATTTTGAAATATACTAGTATTCAGGGCTGTGCGATATGTCAATTCAGCATTGATTTTTCAGTATGCGCATTTGCAATAGTCCCATCGCAGAATGTGCAATGCTGAGTCTGGATTATAGTTGACCAGGATCCACAGTTTAGAATAGGGCTGCACGTTTCTGGATAAACATGCGGTATTGTTAAGTATTGCGATTAACAATATTTTTTACAATATATATTTTCCAAAGAAAAATGTTTTTTTTTTTTTTTTATTAGCTATGTTTTTAAATAATTTATTTATTTATTAACCATATGTATTTATGTATGTTTTTGGTAAGTTTATATGTTCAAATTGATTAAACTAATACTTTTTAAATAAAAATCTCGAAAGTCTCCCTTTTCATTAAGGATGTTCCGATCAGGATTTTTGCAGCTACCGAGTACCAATTCCTTGTCAAGGGGATCAGCCGATATCAAGTACCGATTCTAATGCTTCAAGTTTTATAATGCACAAAGCACATTTTTCCTCCAAGTATGATACTTCAGTGGAGATCTCTCCTTACCTAAGAGAATAAATTAAAGATGTTGTATTCCTTAAACTTGTCTCTTGTAACCATTTAGTGTGGGCATTTAATGGTCAGAAGCGGATTTACAGAAAATAATCGATAAAACATCAAAACAAATGTTAAAAAAAATCTTTAACAAAGCAATTTTAAACATTGCAAATGATGAAAGAAAAATTCAACATGTCTCAATGAAGTTTGAAGTGCAAATTTGATGCATAAGAAGTTGAAATGCACACCTATAAATCCAATATAGGTCCGAAATAGGTCCGTAAACTACTGTTTGTGTTATGGATGTGACAAAAAAAGTCTGTGAGTTTACAGTATACAAAATACTTGGTAGAAATTCTGTGAATTAAACTGCACAACCCCAAAGAAATAATGTTAATCAAAAAGATATGAGTCAGCTCACTATAGAACAAACATGATTGATTTTATTTGATTTTACATTTTTGCATTTATGAGGAAAAAGTGTCGTTATGGATGCAACACTTTTCTGTTATGGATGTGACGAATGTGAAATTGCCACTTGTGTGATTTTAGTAAATCAAATATAATATTTTGAAACATTGACATTATTGTTGAAAACACTGAAACTGTTCTCTTATGCAAAAAGATTTCAGTTCTTATATGTTCTCTGCTTATAAACTCGTAAACAATCAATTATGATCAGATTATGATTAGAGAGTATCGGCCAGATTAGAGAGTGCAGATTTATCGGAGCATCCCTACTATTCATATCTTATCACTATATTAATTATCACATTTATATGTTATTCAGTAATGCTTTTATTAAATAAAATGTTTTTGGTAAAATGGAAAAAAATACTGTATTACGTATTTCTGTGTTATAAATATATTTTGTATGTGGTATGTTAAACGTATAATTTAAAATAATACTAAAATAACATTCGTCTGTAACAGAATATTACTAATGTGCATTCACACATATTATAAAGCAATTGATGTTAATACACTTACACAAATGTAATCAACTATAATCGCGTGTGTGTGTGTGTGTGTGTGTGTGTGTGTGTGTGTGTGTGTGTGTGTGTGTGTGTGTGTGTGTGTGTGTGTGTGTGTGTGTGTGTGTGTGTGTGTGCACATGTGTGTATTTTCCCATGTTGTAACTTAGCATTTTAATATCTCAAGTTTATCTCAATTATTATTATAATAAAAAAGCAAAAATGGTAATGAAATACATTTTCACAGCAAGAATAACATTTTTAAATAGAAAATATTTAGTTAAATATATCTCCAATTGTTG